ATAACTGAACTCAGTGGACTGCTCCTTTAATTCCAGCATCAGTAACTAACTGAACTGTTGTTCAGCTCCTCCATCGTCTGCCTCAGCTCTCCATTTACTCCAGATAAAAGCCCTCATCCACTCTCCTGGCCCATATCATCACATCCAGGTGAAGGAATGCTGCACATAAACAAAAACACCTCCATCATATCACCATAACCTGCAGGTCATTTACACCTCACTGCCATAGTAAACACAAGAACAAACAACAACAACAAACATGAGGTCAGGAGATGTCAGTGTATCACCAGCAGCAGAGGTTCACTGCTGTCTTCTTCTTCTGTGGTGTCAGTTTCTCTCCAGGGAAGAGCTAAAAGCCTCAACTGGAAACGGCAGCCAAGAACCCCCCACCCCCACCCCCCACCACCCCCCACTCGCCCCTACCCACACCAAAATCTCCTGCTGGCCCTGATTCACAAGTAAGCTTAGAAGCAGCATGGGGAGAGGGAGACAGATAAATGTGACAAAACAAAGATGGAGACGAGCCAAGTGACGGAGGAGGGAGAGGATGAAAGAGGTTTGTGTGTGAGGGAATATTCCCATCATCTGTGTCACTGTGGACCGGTACAGTAGGTACAGTAGGTGTAGTACAGTACAGACAGTGATATATATAATTATAATGGTGTCTTCACTGCACACACAATGGAAAACTATAACGATTCATCTATTAGCTGCTCAACATGAGAACGTCAGAACGTTTCAGGACTCACTGCTGCAGAAACTCTCCATCATCAGATTCAGTCCACAGTCAGTGGTTTCTCCACCCACTGACATGATGCACCCGTGAGGTGCCGTTAAACAGCTGCAGAAGAAGAAAACACACTGAGATGATGTCATTGAAGAAAACAATGAAATATGGTTTTATGTATTACAACATTAGTTTCCTCCTTGTAAGTTGTTTTGTGATTTTTTAGGGTTGATTTCTATTGGGAGAAATGGTAGAAATGATTGAACTACTTTAACAACAAAGAGCTCAACATGATCAGATCAACAGTCACCTACAGAAACACAGAGCAGACCTTTGTAACATCCTCATAACCACCTACACCCACCCTCCTCTCCACACACAGCCCAGCTCCACCTGTCAGAAGTCAGTCTCCCTCAGCTCAGAGGAAAACCATGTGAACCTTGTGCCTGGTGAGAGAGAGAGAGAGAGAGAGAGAGAGAGAAAGGTCACAGCAGACCTACTGAGCAGAGCCTTCACTGTTCAAACAGCCGCAGTGAAAGTCTGTGTACACACACACACACACACACACACACACATACACACACAGTGATGGAGGAAGGAGAAGTTGAGGGACAGTTTAGTGAAATAGGTGAAGTGTCCGCAGGTGAAGGTCAAGGGTCACAGGATGAGAAGTTTCTACAACAAAGCGTGAAGGAAGATGTTTGATTTATTCTATTGTTTCAGTGACAAGGATTGAACTCATATCTATAGATCAGCAGCTTTATCCAGCCACAGTCACTGATCCTGCTTTTGTAAAGTCAGTTCAAACTGAACTGACTCTCATTTGTCGTGTTCTTGAAAGCTTTTGTCAGTGCATTAGCTTTGTATCGGAACTCACTGGATGTTGAGAGAACCGGTCGATAGGTTGCACATGAAGCCCCAGTGGCCTAATGGATAAGGCACTGGCCTCCTAAGCCAGGGATTGTGGGTTCGAGTCCCATCTGGGGTGATTTACAGCAGAGTGGCGCAGCGGAAGCGTGCTGGGCCCATAACCCAGAGGTCGATGGATCGAAACCATCCTCTGCTAATGGTTTTACAGCATGGTTACCTGAAGTACAACTGGTTCGTGCAAACCATCTCAGACTGTACTCAAAGCTACTCTGGGTCTACCCCAAGGCCTCCTACCAGTTGGGCATCTGGAAGACCACCAATGGAAGGAGCCCCAACAACCTCAGTGGTCTCCTTTTGACAGAAATAAAATAGGTTATCATAAAATTGCTTTGTAGAGGACTTATTGCACATCAACAGAAGTGGTCCTTATAACCACAGATCCCCAGTGGCCTAATGCATAAAGCACTGACCTGACCAGCGACTCTTTGAGGACAGCTGAAAATTCTTCTCCATGGCTTCACTGAATTCCTCCAACACCTGGGTTTTAATGTCCATGGCCACCAGTGGTTTGGCCTGCCAGTTGGAGCACATGAAGCCCCAGTGGCCTAATGGATAAGGCACTGGCCTCCTAAGCCAGGGATTGTGGGTTTGAGTCCCATCTGGGGTGATTTACAGCAGAGTGGCGCAGCGGAAGCGTGCTGGGCCCATAACCCAGAGGTCGATGGATCGAAACCATCCTCTGCTAACAGTTTTACAGCATAGTTACCTGAAGTACAACAAGTGAGCTTTCTGTGTTAGATTTGCCAGCTTTGGACAAAGCCAGGCTAGCTGTTTCCCTGTGTTTCCAGTCATTGTGCTAAGCTAAGCTATCACCCCCCTGCTTCCCTCCACAAACAGCCAATGGGATTTTTACAAACAACAGTTTCTGATCCTGACAGGTTTAGTTCAGCAGGATCATCTTCACTAACGAACATCTCTGATGTTTGAAGCCTCAATACAGTCAGAAGTAAGAAGCTAATGTTAGGCTATAAACCAGCTAACCACGGTCACATGACCTCACCAACATATGACCTCACCAACACATGACCTCACCACCACAGTCACATGACCTCACCAACACATGACCTCACCTCACCAACACATGACCTCACCACCACAGTCACATGACCTCACCACCACAGTCACATGACTTCAACACCACGTCCCTGACAACCTCTGTGTCTCGTTTAAACACTCATTAGCAACAGAGACGTGAAAGCTTCAGGAATCAGGACTGGAGTATTTACTGACTGATTTTTTGTTGGAGAATAAAAGGTGAAAATGTCTTGAGCTCGTGTTGAACACAGACCTGATTTCAGTCATCAACCAAAACACATTCAACAAACCAGAGACTTCAGGACCAGGGAACAGGAAGTGACAACACGATAAATGATTTCCTGGTTTTAGGATCATTCCTGCAGAACTCTGTGATGCATGTTCCACGTTCTCCTCTGGCGCCACCCTCAGGCCACAGTGTTACATTTCTCATTGTGAGATTGTCATGTTTACTGAGGTCCAGAGGAGATGAAGCTTTAAACCTGACATGGCTCTACCCTGTTCTGTTCACCTGCTGTACTGAGTTCCACTGTGTTCTACTGAGTTCTACTGTGTTCCACTGTCTGTGCTCCAGAGGGGAAGCACCAAATCAAACCAGCTCCAAAAGGCTCTTTGTCTTCCCTGTCTTTGTGTGTCTACGTCCCACACACACTCAGCATGAGAGTGTCCTCTGTCTCCAGCTCCGTCCTCGGCCCACACACCAGAATACCACAGAGGGACGGCGTGAACTTCTCCCTCACTCATTGTCTGGAACACCCCGCTCTTTTCTTTGTCTGTCACTTCCTCATCGACACAATCTCCATCATTTCTCAGATTGGTGACCTCGCCCGACTCCCACGTCACCATGACTTCACCGGGCGGCAGCTGCAGTCGAGACGGTTACCACGACGCCGAGTCTGGAGACCAGGGACAGAGGAAACTCCATCAGATCACTTTCACTGTGTAATTCACTCTGTAAATCTGTGAATTTCATGTGTCGCCACCATCAGCTGAGGAAACGCCAAGGCGTGTTGTCATGGAAACATAGTGGTGACTTCTCAAGGCCACAGCGAAGTCTCAACAAAGTCCTCACAAACAGAGGCTGTCCCCCCCCAATAACCACTCAGCTGATGCTGTTGAACATGAATGAATCCCAAAGTGATGTCTCTGTTTTAAATAAATTAACATGAATCAGTTGTTAATGTATTCATTATTATTATTTTTACTCTGTAAATGTTTTATTAAATTTAGTAAGAAAATTATCAAGTTATAAAATATAAAATCTACAGCAGTATTCACCATGTGAGCACATTGCCACCCAGTGTCTGTGGACAGAACTGCAGCTGTTCCTTCACTGCAGAACACGTCTGCAATTCAGTTTTATTGTTGATCAGATGTTAATATTATTATTCATATATTGTTAATTCTGAGTTAATACAGAGAAGAAGAACTCTCAGTGGAGGACAGTCAGTTACAGACCAGCGGAGTCAGCACCAGGGTCCAGATCCAGCTCAGAGGATACTTCTCCTTTAATAACACTGACCAGGTCAAAGGTCAAACCAGTAGACTTCCTCATCCTCCTGGCTGTGGGTGGAGCAGGTGGAGCAGCCGAGGAGCTTCAGGAGGAGGAACCTGAGGTCATGGTTCAGGCAGCTGGATGGAGGTGTGGTCCTCCTCCTGGTCAGCAGAGATTATAGAAGCGATATTTCAGTCCTGATGTGATGATCTACAGACACAGGTCTGCACAGGGACAGAAAGAGGACAGAGAAGGTGAAGAACATGTAAGGGTCAGATAAGAGGTGGTCACCATGACAACACATCCAGACGGAGGCAGAGAGACAGGAGGAGACTCTGTTGGAGCTTCACCTGGTGTAAAGTCGACTATTGGTTCAGGACATCAACAGCCTCAATCACAGGCTCAGGATCAGGTTCCAGGTGGTCTGTAGGTCTGTAGTGGGTCTTATACATTTACACTGATGCATCTCATGTACATTTTATCACATATATATTTATTTATAAAAAAGGTTGATGATGTTCTTAGAAAAAGACTGCCACCTTCTGGACACTGTGCAAATTACATTTACTGTATATGATGAACCATGTCTCAGACTGCGTATTATATTTATAGAAAACTATTGCAAGACTTCAGGTGTGAACAGTAATATACAATTTTTGTTTAATCATTGTGGAAATATAATACATATATTAAATATGAAACTAGTGGAAATAAATAAATGAGACTTTTTTATTCGTAGCACTGAGTAACCAAACATGACAAACTCTATACATCAATACAGGTTTGTAAGATTTTCTTTATTATATGGTTTGATTTGTATTTAAAAAACTTCACAACTAACATTGTAACATTAAACACTGTAACATTTATAATATTTATCAGATTTTTAACACTGTAACATACAGAATGTGTTTTTTGTTCAAAGCGTGTTGAAGATTTGACTGCTGTGACTGTAAACTACATTACTCTTTTTATGTATGTATGTGTGTGTGTGTGTGTGTGTGTGTGTGTGTGTGTGTGTGTTCAGAGATGCTGGTGCAGCCACAGCACTGTGTTGAGGAAGCAGTCGACCTGTGTGTCCACTCTGGACAGTGAGTGTCCGTCTTCTGAAAACCACAGGAGCCTGGAACAGAAATGAAATCAGGCTGAATAATTGCAATCTTTAGTCTTAATGTTATGATGTGTTTGTCAAACAGGAAGTGGACAGGAAGTAACAGGGGCGTGCTGCTGTACCTGACAGGTGAGTCTCTGCTCTTCAGAGCTTTGTAGAGCTCCAGACCCTGATAAGGAGACACTCTCCTGTCTCTGCCTCCCAGCATCAGCAGCACTGGAGCCTTGATCTACACACAAACACACACAGTCTGTACAGAGGTATGTTACCACATACGACATGTTCATCACACTGACTCCTGAGGTTTCCTTCAGTGGCACCTACAGTAAACACACCTATAAACACCTACATACACCTATACACACCTATATACACCTATATACACCTATATACACCTAATATACACACCTCACACACACCTTCACACACCAATATACACCTATACACACGTACATACACCTACACACACCTATACACACACCTACATACACCTATATACACCTATATACACCTATACACACCTATACACACCTATAAACACCTATATACACACCTATACACACACCTACATACACCTATACACACCTATATACACACCTACATACACCTATACACACCTATATACACCTATATACACCTATATACACCTAATATACACACCTCACACACACCTTCACACACCAATATACACCTATACACACGTACATACACCTACACACACCTATATACACCTTCAGTAAACACACCTACATACACTTATACACACCTATATACACCTATACACACACCTATATACACCTATATACACCTATACACACCTATATACACCTATATATACACTATATACACCTATACACACCTGTATACACATATATACACCTGTATACACCTATATATACACTTTATACACCTATACACACCTGTATACACATATATACACCTGTATACACCTATATATACACTATATACACCTATACACACCTGTATACACCTATACACACCTGTATACACATATATACACCTGTATACACCTGTACACACCTGTATACACCTATATATACACTATATACACACCTGTATACACCTATATATACACTATATACACACCTGTATACACCTGTATACCTTGATAACAAGGTCCTGTGTGTAGCAAACCAGTTGGATGTTCATTATCCACTAGATGAATCAGTTCAAACATTAGCTCCAAAAAAAGGAGAAACTACTGATGTTTCATTACGACCTCTTGACTTTTCCTCGAGCAGCACAAAGGCTCACACACATTTTACAGCTACGACTGATACGACTGTAGCAACAGTGATGGTCACAGTCTGACATCTCATGGATACCACAGGTTCTACAGGCAGCTTTGTAAAACACACAATATGTTGTGTGAAGATGACCACTAAAAGACTGTGTAAAGTGTGTGTGTGTCTGACCTGAGCAGCGTGTGTGATGGGAGACTTCTCCAACATGGCCGCCAGAGCTTCACTGGTGGGGATCTGGTCGTACGAAAACTGCAGCCCCACACTGGAGTAACGCCTCGAGACAGAGAGAAGAAGAAGAGTCAAACTGTGAAGTGGTCTGAATGTTTGTAATAATGTGTGTGTGTGTGTGTGTGTGTGTCTCACCAGTCCACTATGTCACTGGTTCCCAGTAAAGTAGCAGCGTTGATGACAGGGTTCCTGGCTGCACACGCTCTGTAGAAATCTGGGTACTGACCAACCAGGTGACAGGACAGGAAACCCCCGTGAGAACCACCAATCACAGCCAAGCGTTTAGGGTCAAGGGTCAGGTCGCTCTGCAGCACAGTGAGCACGGCCCTCTGGTAAAAGACAGTGAGAACAAATAGGTGACAGGGTGATTCAGAGACATTAATGGAGGAACACAGGACTGACTGAATACCTGGTCACCATACAGGTTTCCATCAGCTCCGACTGCTCTTCACCAAACAGCTGATTATTTAAGTGCAGACAATACTTTACTAAATTATTCTTTATTTACCTTATTATATTTTGATGTATTTACTTTACTTCATTGATTATTAAATGACTCTGGATCAAACAGAGGAAGAGCTCATACCTGAACGTCTTTAACATCCTGGTTTCCAATCTGACCAATCAGAGACAAGATACTGTCCTGACCGAATCCTGTGGATCCTCTGTAGTTCACTGGAGAGAGAGGGAGAGAGGGAGCGAGGGAGAG